ATGGGATCTTCTGGAGAGTCCTTCCTCCTTTGGAAAGAGCACCTTCTTGCCCTACAGCAACTTGCCAACTGGAAAGAGAACAGAATATGCCCAGAGAAGTAGGGCTGAGGAGTGTCAAACCACCATCTGACTGTGGGAATAAACATCTGAGGAAAAGAGTGCCTCCTTGTGGTTTTCCCTGGACATTAAAGTGATGTCATTAATGTTGGGTATTTACAGTATAAAATTTGTATTCATGTTTATATTTAACTTACTAATTTTAATTTTGAGCATGATAGAAAATTGTTTGACTCATGGTCATTAATTTTGTCATATTTTTCCATTTTAAAAATAAATTCATTTTTAATTTTGGAGCCCTTATCAAGATGGCTCGTTCCAGGCAATGAAGCATCTCCAAAACACCATACTAAAATTTTTTTTAAGATTAACTAAATGCTAAAGTCTTCAGACTTCAGACTTCAGATGCAGAAAGTTCTCTTTCTGATAATAAACCATTGCAGGTGGTTATTAGAATATATGTCATAATAATATATTATATATATGCTAAAGCTGCTTATGGCCATTGGAGCTACAACTACTTGATTTTTTCTGAATGTTATTTGCCTTTACTATCATATAACATATAATACCTCAACTTTCGTACCATTTTTCTCTGTTCTTACTACTGCAGAACATCTGTATGATGCAGTATGATAATATTTGGCCCTCAGTTGACATCACACAATTATACCCACATTAGGGTATTGAAATTGCATGACAGTACCCTAGTACACCACAGTCATTCAAATGATCCAAAATATCCTCCTTGTGTGCGTGCATGTGTGTGTGTGTTCCAATAAAGCTTTATTTATTTATTTATTTACTTACTTATTTACTTATTTATCTTTAATTTTATTATTATTCTTTTTAATTTGCAAGTTAGTTAACATACAGTGTAGTCTTGGCTTCAGGATTAGAACCCAGTGATTCATCACTTATATATAACACCCAGTGCTCATCTCAAAAAACACCCTCCTAATGCCTATCACCCATTTACCCAGCCCCTCCCACCTTACCCCCAGCAACCCTCAGTTTGTTCTCTGTATTTAAGAGTTTCTTATGGTTTGCCTCCCTCTCTGTTTTTATCTTATTTTTCCTTCCCTTCCCTTATGATCATCTGTTAAGTTTCTCAAATTCCACATATGAGTAAAATCATATGATATCTGTCTTTCTCTGACTGACTTATTTTGCTTAGCATAATAACTTCCAGTTCCATCCACCTTGTAGCAAATGGCAAGATTTCACTCTTTTCCATCTCCCAGTAGTATTCCATTGTGTATACATACCATATCTTCTTAATCCATTCATCAATTGACAGACATTTGAGCTCTTTCCATAATTCAGCTGCTATATATAATTGTGGATAGTGCTGCTATAAACATTGGGGTACAAGTGTCCCTTCAAATCAGCATTTTTATATCCTTTGGATAAATACCTAGTAGTGCAATTGCTGGTACATAGAGTAGTTCAAAATGATATTTTTCAGGATGCCTGGGTGGCTCAGTCAGTTAAGTGTGCAACTCTTGATTTCAGCTCAGGTCATGATCTCACAGTCATGAGATCAAGCCCCAAGTAGGTCTCTGTGCTGGGCATGGAGCCTGCTTGAGATCCTCTCTCTCTCTCTGTCTCCCCTGCTTGTGCTCTCTGTCTCTGAAATAAAATATTTTTTGTCAAGTGTTATCCCAATCAAAACAAATGTTTCAGTGTTTATAGAACTCTAATACCCATAGGCTCCTGTCTGCTACCACCTGTAGACTGATGACTTTCAATTTTGTATCTTTAGCCTGGCACTCTCTCCCGAGGTAGAGACTTGTATTTCTAAAAGGCAACTACTCAAACTTCACACGTCACAGCTGAACTGATCTTCCTCTCCCTGTGGTCTAGTGCCCACAAGCCTACTCAATCTTCCTCATCTCTCTTAATGGCAAGCCCTTCTTTCTATTTGTTTAGGTCAAAAACTTTGGAGGCATCCTTGATTTTTTTTTTTTTTCACATACCCATGCAATATGTCCGCAAATGTTGTTGGGTGCACCTTCAAAACATAGTCAGAGTTTGTTGACTTCTCAGCACCACCACTGCTACCACGTTGGTCCAAACCACCATCATCTGGCCTAGATTATGGCAATAGGTTATTAACTTTTGCTCTGAACTCCCAAGAGTTTATTCTCAGCACAGCATAGCCTGAAGCCCTACCTGGTCTGGCCCTTGTTACTTTTGTGATCCAATCTCTTATTCCTCTCCCACTGGTGGCCCTCCCTCCAGCCACACTGGCCCCCTTGCTATGTCTGGGACAGCTCCTGCCTCAAGTGCTTCACACTAGTTGTTTCATCTGCCTGAGCTGCTCTCCTGAATGACTGTATGGCTTCCTTTCTCACTTCCTTCATATATTTATTCAGAGAGGACAACAATGGTCCCTTCTTCCTATTTAAAATTACAACCGGAGTCAACTCCAGCTCAATGTTGCCAATTTCCAATTCCCTGCATTATTCTTTCCATAGCACTTAGTATCTTCTAATATACTATGTGATTTATTATTTATCACTTTTTAAAAATTATCTGTCTGCCTTGATAGAATGTCAAGTCCACTAGGGCAGAAATTTTTACCTGATTTATTCACTGGTGAATATTTATTGTGTATAGATATCTATATTGTATATGCATGGGACATAGCACGTACTCAATAATATTTGTTAAAGATTCTAGGTCATGAAATACAGATTTACATACTGGCTTATTTTAAATAGATTTTGAGGTGATTTGCAATAAGATTAATGAAATAGAAATACGAAAGGGTAAATTTAACACCCATAGCAGAGAGTTTAAGTCTGGACTTCTGGAGGAAATGAGAAAAACAACCATAAAAACGAGTATCTGTTGAATACTTAATCTACTAGTGTACTTGCTACTATCAGAGTCGATTGGAACATAAATTAAGCAATAAATCAGGACCTTAATAAATGTCTGTATTTTTGGAATTTTGCTAAATCCTAACAATAAGCTTATGAAGTCCTTCTAATTACTAGACTTTTACAGAAGAGGACATTGATGCTCAGAAAGCTTGAGACACTTGTCCAAGACTAACTACATAGCTGGTCCATTAGGATTTGAACGGTGATGTGTTAGACTCCCGCGCCCATCTTTTTTTTTTTTTAATGTTTATTTTATTTTTGAGAGAGAGAAAGAGACAGAGCGTGATCAGCGTGTTAGACTCCCGCACCCATCTTTTTTTTTTTTTTTTATGTTTATTTTATTTTTGAGAGAGAGAGAGAGACAGGGGCAGAGAGACTGAGACACAGAATCAAAGTGAGCTCCAGGCTCAGAGCTGTGAGCATAGAGCCCAATGAGGGGCTTGAATTCACAAGCTGTGAGATCGTGACCTGAGCCGTGACCTGATCGTGACCTGAGTTAAGTTGGCACTTAACCAACTGAGCCACCCAGGCACCCCAACCGTGCCCATCTTTTTAAATACTGTACTGCCAATTATAACTTAACCTCCCATGTATTACAAACTAGAAAGTATGCCAGTTCCTCGTGGGAGAAAACAATTTACTCAATTCTAATGTAATTCTTTTACATTCAATAATTTCTTAGTTCCCTCCCCATCCCTGTCCTGAGCTGCTGGCTGATTCTCCATCCTTCTCTCAACCTCCTTTCCTGACATGACTCTTACTCTTATCCAAATTCTCTGGATCTTTTGTGTCTCATCAACACCTTTTAAAAATGCAGTGAAAATTCCTCCCAAATAACACTTATGCCTCAATAACACAACACCTATGTTCAATTTCAGGAGGCTCATGAATCTTCAATAAGTCTAACCATGGTTGAAAATCCTGTGTTAGGTCTCTTCTCTCTAAAAAAATCCCGGATGCCAGCACTCAGATCCAATTATTTCCTAGCTTCCTAATGTTCCTAGCTTTTTCTATTATATTGATTGTGATTAAAATTAAGAATTTGGACAGTATGACTAATGTACATTCTAACTCTCAAATTCTACTTTTCTCATTTTATCATTTTCTTCCTCTGTTCTTTTAGCATCTCTTCCCTACACTCACACGCAAACAACATAATGATAGTACCATGATGGCCATGCTCCATGTGGCTCCGAGTAGACTGAGATATCAACCATAACCCCAAACTGAGTCAACCAAAAAACCCACAATTCTGCCATCATTAGTATTAAAAAGAGTCACAGGCCCAAGGTGGATTCAGCTGCATCCAGGACAGCAAACTTAAGACTTAACTGCAGTTTCAACCTCTCCATGGGTGGAATTTTAAGCCAATCAATCTGGAATTTTGTGGTCAGCACCAATGAGATAATCTGTCACGTGGGCCCTCTTTATCCTCACCTGTCCCCCCAAGAAAGATGACATAATCTGCGTAAAACCCCTGCCCCCCCCACCAAGAGTAGGTGATTTTGCCTGAAACTATCCTTTTCTTATGCTAATAACTTTCAGCCCCACCCTCCTTGCTCTTAAAACATTCCATTGTAGGGGCGCCTGGGTGGCGCAGTCGGTTAAGCGTCCGACTTCAGCCAGGTCACGATCTCACGGTCTGTGAGTTCGAGCCCTGCGTCAGGCTCTGGGCTGATGGCTCAGAGCCTGGAGCCTGTTTCCGATTCTGTGTCTCCCTCTCACTCTGCCCCTCCTCCGTTCATGCTCTGTCTCTCTCTGTCCCAAAAATAAATAAACGTTGAAAAAAAAAATTAAAAAAAAAAAAAAAAAAACATTCCATTGTATACAATTCCTGGGAAGTCTCCTTTACTTGCTAGATGGAATGCTGCCAGATTCATGAATCACTTCATAAAGCCCACTAGATCTTCAAAGTTACTTGGTTGAATTTTCTTTATTTAATATTAGCAACTGAATATGCCATGACATCTAGAGTCTGTCCTTTTGCTAATTAATAAACTGAAAATGGATCAAGAAAGGTAATATATGGATGAAAGGGGGGGAGGAAAAATAATTTTCCTTCTAATCTTCTAGGTTCTTGACTGAGACAACCTCCCCACCCCCCTCCCTGTAACAAAAGATAGATCAACAGAAGAAAAACAAACAGAAGTTTGATGGTGTGTACGTTTCCCGTATTTGTGAGAGAGACCCAGGAAAACTGAGTAACTCCCAGAAAAGACCCAAACCATCACCTTCAATACCATCTTCAGCTAAAGACCAAAGAATATGTTGGGGGGTGAGGGATATGCCAATTATGGAAGGTTTTCAGCCAAAGCACAGTAAACAAAGGGTATGGTGGTTGTGCATATTTAAGGTGCTATCTTCTTGGGCCGCCTGGGGGGCTCAGTCGGTTAGGCATCCAACTCTTGATTTCAACTCAGTCATGAACTCACAGTTCATGAGTTCAAGCCCCGAATCAGGCTCTGTGCTGACAGCTCAGAGCCTGTTTGGGATTCTCTCTCTCCCTCTGTCTCTGTCCCTCCCCCACTCGTACTCTCTCCCTCTCTCTCTCTGTCTCTCAAAATAAATAAACTTAAAAAAAAAAAAAATCTAGAGCGTTTTTCTGCTCCCTTTCAATAGAAATGGCAGTGCAGCGTTCAAAAAAAATAGAGAAGTCCTCAACTCAGAACCCGTGCCCAGCATGATAAGGTGCAAGTTACTTCTATTAAAAAGTTATACATAGGGGCGCCTGCGTGGCTCAGTTAGTTAAGTATCCAGCTCTGGATTCTGGCTCACGTCATGACCTCACAGTTGTGAGTTCAAGCCATGCATCAGGTTCTGTGCTGACAGTGCAAAGCCTGCTTAGGATTCTCTGTCTCCCTCACTTGCTGCCCCTCCCCAGCTCTCTCTGCCTCTCTCAAAAATGAAAATAAATAAACATGAAAAAAATCCTTTATATAAGAAAAAAGTTATACATAGACACACTCACTGATATCACACACACAGTAAACAAAGGTTCTAAACCCATCTTTACAAGAGTCATGACTTATGGCCTGTTGCCCAATATAGTATGGTCCTCCATTCACAAAATGAATAACAAACAACATAGGTATGAAAAAGAAAACTGCATGACCATAATGGAGCTACTTGTGGCTCTAAATCAATAAATCAAGATTTAATAACTAACCTAACTGCAGTTTCAACCCCTTCAGGAATGTACCTTTAACCAGCCAAACTGGAATTTCAGGCAATCCCCTGGAAGACACCTTACCCCTTAGGAGGGGACCTTACCTAAACATTGCATTCCTTGCTAATAAATTCTTTTTTTTTTTTTTTTAATGCCTTCTCTCTGCCTTTAAAACCCTTTCCATTCCTGCAGCTCTGTGGAGCTTTCTCCTCTGCATGCTGGATGGAATGCTTCTCTGGATTCACAAATCATTTAATAAAGCCAGTTACATCTTCAATTTTACTTGGCTCAGTTTTGTTATTTAACACAGGTCAATTTTTTTATCCTTACCGTCATCATCATCATCACTTGGAGTTCAGTTTAGAAGGGTCCCAGAAATATGTAGACAGGGGTATTTTGTTTGTTTTTGTTCTTCATGTAGAGGAAACTACATTCTCTGTTTAAAAGGAATGTGTTTAACCCTCTCTATGTCTCATGCAGTTCTGGCCTAGTCACAAAAATTGGGCAGAATTAATTGTCCTTAAGCTCACACACACACACACACACATGCATGCAAATTCTCTTTTCTTGCTCTCTGGCACTCTTCAGGGCATATTCATTTTTCCTGAAAAATTAGGCTCTGAATTTCAGAACTGAGACAAACTTGGGAATCCTGTGGTAAGCCCTTCATGGTCCGATGAGGAAACTGAGACCTGCAAATCTCACCAGTTGCTTAAAGTCACACAGTGGTATCAGCAGTGCTCAGGCTGGGAGATGGATCCCCCACTCCCTCATGGTCAGTCCAGTGCTCCTTCTCACACCCTTTAATCTTTTCAAGTACCCCCATTTAATATGCCAGGAGCATATTAAACCCTTGGGGTCAGCACAGCCAGCAGCTCTGTTGACTGCGAGAGTTGTTAGCAGAGTTTGGGTACAGGAAGCAGGTGATAGGACCCTGCTGTGTGTTTGCAGCACAGAGGTAGGTGGCTGAGTCTGCAGGCTGGGGTTCTGTTATGTAAAAGGAACTCTGTTTGAAGGTCTTATCAAAGGTGGCCTTCAGTCTTCCTGTCTGTTTTTTACTCTCATTTTCACGGATTAGTAGCAAGAAGACAAGGCCTCTTCCCAGATCTTGTCGGTACCACTGGAAGACCACTGGAGAAAAATTTGTGCAGTTACAGGTCAGAACGGCCTTCTCACCCTCCTGGATGTTCAGGGACTGAGGACTCTGTTCCATCTTTTGGCTGCTTACCCCTAGGCAGAAACACAATACCAGAAACAGGAGGTTTAGTCACTACACTACACTCTTAAGAGTCATATTTTCTTTCCACAACCCCAGATATAACCAAAGATGAAGCAGAATGGATCCTAGCTCTTCCCTCTCCATCCCATGGCCTGGATCTCTGGATCTCTTTGTTCTTATCACCAGGAAGCCTCCAACTCACAGTCCACTGGAAGCCACAAAATCACCAAAATAACTCCCAGGAACAGCTCCATTCTTGTCCCCAACTATAGCTTGATATGTGGACTCAGTCTCCTCAATCAAAAAGCCATTCTCTTTAGTTAGGTGGGTGTTACTGGGGTTCTTCTATGGGAGGAAGTCTCTTTCCTACCCAATCAGTGACAAGCTTGTTCAGCCCTCTGCAGATACACACTGGTCTAATCCAACTTTAAAGAGAACTTGTTTCATGGGGCGCCTGGGTGGCTTGGTCGGTTAAGCGTCTGACTTCGGCTCAGGTCATGATCTCAGGGTCCGTGATTTTGAGCCCGGCGTCAGGCTCTTGTGCTGACAGCTCAGAGCCTGGAGCCTGTTTCAGATTCTGTGTCTCCCTCTCTCTCTCTGCCCCTCCCCCTGCTCATGCTCTGTCTCTCTCTGTCTCAAAAATAAATAAACGTTAAAAATAAATAAATAAATAAATAAATAGAGAACTTGTTTCAAATCTGAGAAAGGATCCCAATAAGATAGTAAGTAAACACCGCCATCTCGTGTTCAGAAGCTTTTTGACAATAATAAAATGTGCTCCAGACAAGTGCTTCTCACGTGCATACCAATTACCTAGGGATTTTGCTAAACTACAGATTCTTTTTCATTACGTAGGGGAGCAAGAATATCCTGTTCCCTTCAAGGTCTTTCTAGCCAGACTAGGAATCAAATGGTGATGAAACAGATTAACAGGAGAAAATCAAATATGATTTTGTATAAGGGGAATCCACACAGACATGGAAATTCCAAAGACAGGCAAAATGAGGTGTATATCTCATTCTGAACTAAGGAGAAGGAGGCAGGGGTCCAGAACTTCAAAGGGAAGGAAAGCAATTCACAGGAAGATGAAAAGGTACATATTTAGTAAGCAATTTGAGCCACAATGGACACAGAGGACTTTGACAAACAGGCTTTGTTAAGTTTCTCCCCATCTATCACACTTAGTTCATAGTATAATATAGTTATTTATGGTGGAAACTCTCTTCCTGGAGCAGGTGCTCTATCTAAATTCTTTTTAAGCAATTATTGGGTAGGGGGGGAGGTAAAAAGCTTTTCCTGAATCTGCTGGGTATTGATTGCCTTTTAACTCAAAATAATCTTGGTGCCAAAGTGGCCTGTCTTGGGGCAGCCAGCCCAGGGTCTCTACCATTAGGTCCCTGGTAGGACTGGATAGTCTATATTTCTTTTTTTTTTTTTTTAATTTTTATTTATTTTTGAGACAGAGAGAGACAGAGCGTGAGCGGGGGAAGGGCAGAGAGAGAGGGAAACACAGAATCCGAAGCAGGCTCCAGGCTCTGAGCCATCAGCACTGAGCCCTACACAGGGCTTGAACCCACAAACTGTGAGATCGTGACCTGAGCCGAAGTTGCACGCCCAACCAACTGAGCCACCCAGGCACCCCTGGATAGTCTATATTTCTAACAGGTTTCCTGGCGATGTCGATGCCGCTCATTCTCAGCTCACACTTTAAGTCATAAGTCTAGAAGAATGCTTTTTGAGTCTCAATCCATAAAAGGGAATTTGAGCATTAAGATTTGATACAGGACAAATGATCACGTTTCCCCAGGTGTCCATTCCACTGCCCAGTCAGGCTATTCTGATGTTCCCACAACAATTGCCAGAGGCTGCCACCAGCTGTAGATAATGTAAGGCACAGGACAATGCATGGCTGAATTCTAGGGAACGTTCTCAGATCCGGGAGTGAACCTCCTCTCTTCATCCTGACTGGCCTCCCTCAGGCAGGAAAATTATTGCTTTGACTTCAAAGGTTTTCTTCTTGATCTTGTTGAGCTAATGTAAGTAAACACTCACTTTAAACCCAACAGGAGCTCAGGGTGCCTGGGTCGGTCAGTCAGTTAAGTGTCTGACTTTGGCTCAGGTCAGGTCATGATCTCACAGTTCATGGGTTCAAGCCCCACTTTGGGTTCTGTGCTGACAGCTCAGAGCCTGGAGCCTGTTTTGGATTCTGTGTCTCCCTCTCTCTCTCTCTCTCTCTGCCCCTCCCCTGCTCACGCTCTGTCTCTGTCTCAAAAATAAATAAACATTAAAAAAAATTTTTTTAACCCAACAGGAATTCAAATCAGGGAAGTTTCCTGGTTCATGCAGAACCAAGCTCTCTGAAAGGTAAATTGTTATTTATAAATACAACAGTCCTCTGATTGCATACATCAGAATTTCTTTCTTTTCTACTTTGCTAATGCTAAGGTGGGCATATTGTAGTCACTTTCTCAGATACATTTAGGCCATTCTGTAGCCTAAATGATGGATAGATAAATGGACAGCCAGATAGGCAAATGAATGCATGGAAAGAAGAAAGAAGAAAATGGACTAGGGGATGCTGAGAAATGAAGCTGGAAGGAAAATTTAGGTCAAGAAGACAGAAGATTTTGAATGTTTGGATTTGTTTGTAAGTTATTTATTAGCAAAAAACCTACTGAGGCTTTTCGCCAAGTAAGTAAGATTATGGAAATTCTGTACATTTAACCTGGCTGCTTGCCCACAAGAGTAATTTGGAGACTGAGGTTGATAGGCATTGTGGAGTATGTTCCAAACTCAAGCCATCCCAGCTTTGAAACCTACCCTTACATTTAATCTCTGACGGAGCTTGAGCAAGCTACTTAACATCTTCAAGCACCAATTTCTTTATGTTTGAAACAAGAATATCATCAGGATGTTATGAGGAGACATAGATGAACTGACGTCCATAAAACACTTTGTACATACATCATGCACAATGAGAACTCAGTATATGTGAACTCTTAACTCTAAGAGAAGGAACTCAGGGATGCCTGGGTGGCTCAGTCTCTTAAGCATCTGACTTTGGCTCAAGTCATGATCTCTTGGCTCATGAATTCGAGCCCCACGTCGGGCTCTGTGGTAACAGTTCAGAGCCTGGAGCCTGCTTCAGATTCTGTTCCCTTCTCTCTCTGCCCCTCTCCATCCCAAAAAATAAATAAACATTTTAAAAAAAATTTTTAAGAGAATGAATACAATGCAGGCTGAACAACCAGCCTTCTCACTGTGAGGTATAGTGACTGAACCAGGGTTCACTGCACTTCAGAGCTGGGAGGAATTTTAGAGAATTTGCAGAAAATGATGGATTAGAGATACCTTAAATCAAATAAGACTTACAGTTTAGAAAATATGGAAAAGAGAAGAATCACTACTTATCCTATTAAGCAAGGATATACATTACCAATATCTTGGTGTCTTACTTTCCAACCTTTGTGCTGCTCAGCTTTTCACTAAGTAGCAATATTAAGTAATAATCACACCAGTTATATTTTGATTCTTTTCAGTGATCACTTTTAAATAACCATTATAGATTCTCTTTCATAAATACCATTTATTCACTATCTAATATTCCATTTGGGTGGTTAAGCCCTTCCCTTTAAGATTAGACATTTTGGGTTTCAATTTTGGGGTACTATAAATAATTTCCCAAATAGTTTTGTAAATAATAATTTTCATATGCATGGAGGGTTTTCCGGAAGACAAATTTTCTAGGAAAAAAATTACAAGGAAATTAATCTGTTTTTAGACCAGGAAGTCATGCTTTTTTAATTACTTTCCAAAATAGCTTATAAAGTTACTATCCCACTAGTCTGTTTATTTCACAGCATCATCCTCAAGTTCTCTATTCTTTAAATCGCTATTAAATTATTCCTACAACTCCCTAATGGTTTTTTTAAGTTATTTTTCTACATTTCTATGAATACCAGTGAGCTTAAACATTTTCCATGTGTTTGTGAAGCATGGTATTTTTTCCTGTGTAAACTCCCTCAGCGTACCTGCTGAATATTTACCTATTTCGATATCAATGTGTTCCTTCTTACGCATATAGAAATTATTCAGAGATATTATTAATCTATTGTCACATTAGCAGCAAAGTAATAGTAAGCTGTGGTTTTAATATAATTTCTGTCATGTTTTTCATATAATAAATTAGCTTTTAATATTTATGTAATCAAATCTATTTTTCCCTTGATTTCTTCCATTGCTCTTAAGTTTAGAGAATTCTTCTCCCTTCAGTTTCTTGATTAACAAATGCATTTGCATTTTTTACTAATAACTGTGACTTAATTCTTAATACTTCTGGAATTTATTTCATCATGTGAGGTACTTCATTTATTTGTTCAACGAGCACTTACTGATTGCCTCATGATTTTGCAACACTTTTGTTTTCAAATAGTCAACTCTGTGCTTCTCAAATTAGAGGACTCTTGTCCTCAAGACAAAACATGTAGTAAATATAATGCATCATCTGGGAGCACTAATATTACTGAAAAACTGGAGAATAGGTAAACTGGTAAGTGATTTACAATTATTAAGCTCTAAAATTAATATGGGTACATAATGCATTAAAATAAAAATGATCACCCATAAATTTTAAAGTAAACATGAGACTGTCTGCACTTTCACCAGACTGCTTTGGGCTACGGTGCCCTCACCTCACATCCGGATTTCAAAAAGGAAATTCATGTTTGTTCTCCCTGCTCTATAGGGATGCTTTGGGGAAGGTCTGAGAACCTCTGACCTGAACAATTGATACAACATAATTTGAGGATAATCCTGTTCTTCCCCATTAATTTAAAAGTCCCCTTTTGTTTTATTCAAAGTCTTTCATATTCTAATCCATTTCTTGTTTTTCCATTGTCTTTATACTAATTATTACTATTATTGTTGTTGTTATTATTAGCCACTACACTTAACTGTTTTAAGGGTGATGTCTGAGTTAAGAAAAATGTTGTTTTTCACCAAAAATATAAGGGAATGATTACAGAAACAAAATGGTGACACTGGGGCGCCTGGGTGGCTCAGTTGGTTGAGCGTCCAGCTTCGGCTCAGGTCGTGATCTCGTGGTTTGTGAGCATCAGGATCTGTGCTGACAGCTCAGAGTCTGGAGCCTGCTTCAGATTCTGTGTGTCCCTTTCTCCCTTTCTCTCTCCTGCTCAAAATAAATAAAAATTTAAACAAAAATGAATAAACATTATTTATCTATCAAAATATTTGTCTATAAAAAATAAATAAACATTTAAAAAAAGAAAGAAAATGATGACATAAAATCATT